AGAAGAAGAAGAAGAAGAAGAAGAAGAAGAAGAAGAAGAAGAAGAAGAAGAAGAAGAAGAAGAAGAAGAAGAAGAAGAAGAAGAAGAAGAAGAAGAAGAAGAAGAAGAAGAAGAAGAAGAAGAAGAAGAAGAAGAAGAAGAAGAAGAAGAAGAAGAAGAAGAAGAAGAAGAAGAAGAAGAAGGACGATGACGACGGGGTGCTTGGTGCTCTCTGAGCTTGGTGGTTTTCTTGCAGACATTTCATGACCCAACTAGGTAACATCAGCAGTGTTAGAAGGGAGTGGTGTTTAAATCACTAGATGTTACCTAGTTGGGTTGACCCCACAGCTCAACCCTGAGCCGCAGAGATGCTCTTCTATTGACAATATGTTGTGTTCTTCTCCCTTTTTTTGAAACGTTAGCCTGTTGGAATCCCCTTGTGTTTGCACGGCGGTCCTTTTGCACATATTTGTACACTGCTTTTCTCCCGTTCGATCTTATTTCTTCCCGTCTGGTCTCCGGATAGATGCTGGTGGTGTTCAAGTCGGCTCCAATCCTGAAACGCGCTTTGAAGGTGAAACAGGCCATGATGCAGCTCTACGTCCTGAAGCTGCTGAAGATCCAGACCAAGTATCTCGGGCGCCAGTGGAGAAAGAGCAACATGAAGACCATGTCAGCCATCTACCAGAAGGTCCGTCACCGCATGAACGACGACTGGGCCTACGGCAACGGTGAGTGGGGCAGAAATCCCCCAGCTGCCTCAAAGAACGGTTGCTGGAATTGGGGAGGTCTAGCTTAACGAAGAGAAGGACGAGGGGGGACATGATAGCAGCCTTCCAGTATCTCAGGGGCTGCCCCAAGGAAGAGGCAGTCAAGCTATTCTCCAAAGCCCCTGAAGGCAGGACAAGAAGCAACGGGTGGAAACTAACCAAGGAGAGAAGCAACCTAGAACTAAGGAGAAACTTCCTGACAGTTAGAACGATTAACCAGTGGAACTATCTGCCTCCAGAAGCGGTGAATGCTCCAACACTGGAAGTCTTTAAGAAGAAACAGGACAGCCATTTGTCTGAAATGGTATAGGGTTTCCTGCCTGAGCAGGGGGTTGGACTAGATGACCTCCAAGGTCCCTTCCGGCTCTGCTATTCTGTTATTCAAAGCCCCTGAAGGCAGGACAAGAAGCAATGGATGGAAACTCATCAAGGAGAGAAGCAACTTTAGAACGAAGGAGAAATTTCTTGACTTAAAACAATCAGTGGAACAGAAGTTGTGGGTGATCCATCACTGGAGGTTTTTAAGAAGAGACTGGACAACCCCTTGTCTTAAATAGTATAGAGCAGGGGGTCAGACTAGAAGACCTCCAAGGGCCCTTCCAACTCTGTTATTCTCTTAATACCATCATGATCAATGACTAAGGGAACTAAGTATGCTTAATCTAATGAAGAGAAGGATTAGGGATAATGTGATAGCAGTCTTCCAGTATCTCAGGGGCTGCCCCAAAGAAGAAGGAGTCAAGCTATTCTCCAAAGCCCCTGAAGGCAGGACAAGAAGCAACGGATGAAAACTAACTAAGGAGAGAAGCAACCTGGAATTAAGGAGAAACTTCCTGACAGTGAGGACAATTAACCAGTGGAACTACTTGCCTCCAGAAGTTGTGGGTGCTCCAATGCCATTTTTGGACAGCCATTTGTCTGAAATGGAATAGGATTTCCTGCCTGAGCAGGGGGTTGGACTAGAAGACCTCCAAGATCCCTTCCAACTCTTTTTTTTTAAAACAAGTTTTATTAATTTTTTCTTTTTACAAACAAGTGCTTAAGAATCAATATGGTGGCAGGGTAATCAATTGTCCAAAAGCAAGGTCATATTTATATAGTTCAAAGTAAATCATTAGAAACCCCCTCTCTATTCCCTCAGATAATATATTATATTCAAATTAATGTATTTCAATGCAGCTAAGTCAATCAAAACAATCATCAATAACATTTCATCTAAATAAGTCCAAATCCTGTGTGAAGCTTTACTATTTCAATTGCTATGCTCCATTTTGCTACTATAAATGCGTAATTAGCACTTCAGGTGTCTCTCCATTCCCTTTTTCCTTGACCTAATCAATCAATAATCATTTATTAATATCATTTCTTCTTTTTTTCTTATTCTTCTTCCAATACAAAATAACTATCCTTTCTAAATAACAAGAATATTAGTTCAAAAAAGAAAAGCAAAAAAAAGAAAAAAATACCTTTCTACTCTATTCTGCTTTATCATCTACCAATCCCTCAATATCTATATCAAACTCCTTTAACCCCCTCCCAAAATTACTATATCCACAACAAACATGTTAATACACAAACAAACATCTTCTTATTAAATTCAAATCTTTAATTAATTTTTATTCAATCTTAACATCTTCCAACTCTTAACGATTCTCTCTTTTCCCTCCCGGTGTGTTTCCCGCCTGTAGATGTCGACGCTCGCCCTTGGGACTTCCAAGCGGAAGAATGCAGCTTACGAGCCCACATCGAGTCTTTTAATAGCCGGAGGTACGACAAGATCCGGGATGCCGAATTTTGTCCCGTCGACAACTGCCTTCAGAGCGTGCTGGGACAAGACTTAGAACTGCCCGAAGATTTCCACTTTTCGTACGAACTCTGGCTAGAGAGAGAAGTATTTTCCCAGCCCATTCGCTGGGAAGAACTGCTGTGTTACCAGTGAATGGGGGACGGGATTCGAACTCGGTGCTTCCGACGACAGGGACCACATGTGGGGGGGGAAAGAGGAGGTGTGGGTTTGTTTTTGTTTTTTTGTTTTTAATCTGCGGATGTCTTTCTGCAATGAATTAACTCCCTAGAGCAGGGGTGCCCCACCTGGGCGACATTAAGACTTGTGGACTTCAACTCCCAGAATTCCTCAGCCAGCCAAGCTGGCTGAGGAATTCTGGGAGTTGAAGTCCACAAGTCTTAAAATGGCCACAGTTGGGGACCCCTGCCCTAGAAAAAGAAGTCTTCCACCTTTCCAAGCATCTTCTCCTTTCCCCTCAACATTATGGGTCTGTAAGCAAAGCAAAGAGAAATTTATTATTATTATTCCAGTCGTTTTCCCCGATCAGCGCTCCGTGATATATATTTAAAGGTCTTATAATGGTGGCTTTGAATGAAGGAGATTCTGTACATCAGCGGTGTCCAACTTTGGTTCCTTTAAGACTTGTGGACTTCAACTCCCAGAATTCCCTAGCCAGCCATGCTGGCTGGGGAATTCTGGGAGTTGAAGTCCACAAGTCTTAAAGTGACCAAGATTGGACACCTCTGAAAATTTGATTCATTTTCTATGAATAAATTACCTGGGCAAACATACCTGTAAGATCAGTGACATCCTAAGACTTCTTTCACTATGGCTGATTCCATCAAACATTCCAGCAAAATATCCCCCAATTTTATTTAATAACCACCTTTTGAGGACACTCCCTACGTAGAAAACAATATCCATAGAATAATTTTTCAGGATGTAAGGATGAATTAGGGGCATCTGCGTTATCTCCGATATATACAAATATATGGGAGATGTGCAAATTATATACCAAATATATATATATATATAAAAACACTGTGCAGTTTTTTCTTCCAACTTTTTATTCGCAATTCGCCGGGCATATATTGCAAGGATTTTTCCCAAGTGTTGCAGCGTCGCATGAAAGATGCTTTTGATGAATCAAAAATGCATCAAACGTTCGGGAACTACTTTTACCTTGTTTGGAAATGAAACATAGGTGCTTTTTTAAAAAATTGTAGCAGCCTGCGGAATATTTACTATATGGCACTGCGCAATAGTTATGTTGATAGTTGCTAATTAGAAATGCATTCAGATCTCTTAATACCGATGTTATCTTTTATTTCTGCGGAGTGACATTGTTTAAAGCATGGCAGCCCTGTTGCTCGCTTGTTCACACGTAAAGGATATTTTGCATGTCCCCAAATGTGCGCTTCAGTGGCAACATATGGGTTTTCCCCATGAGCTGCTTCATGCTTTGTGTGTGTGTTTTATGCCACAAACACGGGTAGCAAGAAGGAGCAGGAGGGTAATGCGCTAAGCAAAACTTGGTTCATGAGCACAAGACGAGAGTTAAACACGCTTGTATTTCTGACACGCTTGAATGTACGGCTACGTGTGGTTATATGTGTGTGAGACAATTTTATTGGCAGCCTTAGTAGCATGGCACAGATTTCTCTCTAAAATACAAATAAGAGGATTTTCGTTTTTTTGGATTCTAGTACATTTCTCAAAAGGCCTGGATGTATTTTCCAGGCTGCGTTTTATTGGCACAGAAGAGACCGTCACGTGCGACATCCTGTCTATAAAGAAATAAGCCAATGCAGTGAATATATTTAGCAACCGGGAAAATTACGTGGACTTAAAATTCACTGAAACGGCTGCCAGCCAGATGTGCACTTTATCCATTCTGTGAAAGACCAAAAAATGAAATAAAAACCGCTTATCATTTTGTTTGCAATCCTATTTCGGAGCGGACGTTTGAAGGAGCTGCTTTGATCTTGTTTGGAAATGAAAAATATGTGATTTTAAAAATGGTAGCGGCATGCAAACTATTTGCTGTATGGCACTGCACAATCGTTGTCTTTGTAGCTGCTTATCTGGATTCAAATCCCTCAAAGCAGGTGGCTCTCTTTTTATTCCCTCGGAGTGAAAAATGTTGATTTCCTAATGCAAATTATTTTTTAAGGAGGCGTGTTGTTATCCTAAGCACGAGGTATAACTAAGAATAAAAAAAAATCTATTCTTAAATAGTTTTATTCTTTGGATTCTTTCATTCTATTGAAATATTTGTTACCCACACAAAGAGGACCAGTATTTTCGCCGTAACAATGGGAGAGCATTTTAAACTACAGGAAGGGAGCTTTCTGGACAGGTTTGAAACGTTGATTTAATTTACTGTGAAATTAAATGGATCTGAAACAGGGACGTGTTCGTAGTGAATACTGTAAAGCATTGATAGAAGTAAGTCTTCATCCTGGTTCATCCAAGCCGGGAATAAATAAGCAAACATGGCGACTGCTTTGGGAAGAAGGTTACAGTTTATTGCAGAAGAAAGATGGTCCTTGCAAGAAGGAGCAGAGGAGAAGAAAAGAGACTGAGCACACGGGTAGAAGGTTTTTTATACCCCCTCTAGCCCTGTTTGGAATAGTTTCCTGTTCCTGTGGCATGAACTTTGAGGCTATTTCTAGGCCTTGATATCTGTGGTTTAATCCTATTATCATATCCTGCTTCCCAGGTGATGGGGCTAATGACTCCTAGAGTTTGGGTGGGGCATGCAGATTTTCTCTTTGTCTTCTTGATTGCTCTGGCTTCAACTTTCTGATGGTTTTACATCTGCATTTGTATGGGGCTAGGTCTTGCTTGGGGCAGAGACATTTGGAGCCAAAGTTGGTTTCTGCTTTTAAAATACTTTTGAGGAAATATATATTTCTGCCCTTTTTAATATTTCCTTCTCTGGGGCTCTGACTTCCCACAGCATTAACCTCAAGACAAACTATTAGTAGAAGTGCATTTTTTATTTTTTAGCAAAAATAAACGTAGACGTTCATTTTTGCTTCCTTCCTTCTTCGAATTCTTCTTTCCCCTTTCTGTCTCGACTTAACATCGCTTAAAAAAAAAGCTATAAAATTAACGTGCCAGATGGCAACTGGCTCTGCACAAGGCAGCTGAAACCATATTGAAATTCGGATTATCAGATCAGCCAAACCTCCTTCCTTGCCCACCCTCTGTAAATGTCGTTTTAATGGAATAAGGACGACCTTCTGCTTAAAAAGCCATTAGCCTCCTGGAAAACTACTATATGTAGGAGATAGGATCATGTGCGTAACAAGCCACCTTGGTGGCAGCATCTTTGCTGCTTCTCCTTTTTTTAAAGAAAAAAAAAAGCTGCTGAGGTGTGCAGGGGATTTGCAATTTGTTTTCGAAGAAAAGGCTAAGAGAAGATTTGGCTTCCATCCTTATGCGTGTTAGGATCCAGTTCTGACTACTACACCATCATAAGCCAACATTTTGAGTTTTTGGAATATCACACAGAAAGAAAGGAAACTGATAAAAGGACAATACTGTACAGGTAGGCCTTGATTTACAACAGTTCATTTAGAATGGAATGGAATGGAACAGAATAGAAATATAGAATAGAATAGGAATGGAATTGAATAAGAATAGAATAGAATAGAATAGAATAGAATAGAATAGAATAGAATAGAATAGAATAGAATAGAATA